AAATACCTGGAGATGATGAATTATCTTAGTTCCTCATCAGACTTTTAGCACCTACTGATGATTGTTGTCTGAATCACGTATTACTATCTCACTTACCAAATAGTGATTTCCTCATTTCATTTTCCTACATTTATTAGTTGTTTTTTCACTATGAGGAAGAGATTTATTTTTCCCTCTTTAATGTACTTATTCACTAATATTAGGACAGACTCATGGGTTCAGTATTAATCCTTTACTGTCATTATTTGGTCTCTTAATTTGGCTTCTTGATCTTTTTGATGTGCCCACAGCATTCTTTGAGCACTTTCTTATTCGGTGGCACAACAGGGTAGTCTAGGCTCATCTTATGCTTACCCTGTCCAAGCCCTAGAATAGCTGGGACTTCTTCTCTTAGAAGTCTTGGTTCCTTTTAGTAGAGAATGGAATTGAAACCAGAATATGGGTAGTTGGTGTGCTACTGCTTTTCAGATGTCACTATTTCTAGGCCTCCTCAGTAGACAGAGCTAGAAAACAAAAGCATCTACACTAATAAAAGAGAACCATGCAAATTAACCATCACTCTGCTACACCCACAAGCCATGCCCACCAGCCAATGAGAAGCGAGTATGCAAATTAACCCAACTAAGATGACGGTGGCCAAGGAGCTGGAGCAAGCAGGAGGCTTGGGTTGCCACTGGTGATGGAGGAAGCCAAGCTTCCCGCCTGCGCTGGTCGGCCCTGGGCTCCGCTCAAGGCTACAAAGTTTCAATTATAGAAGATCAATAAATCCCAGATACCTGCTTCCAGCCCACCGGGAGGGGGGTAAGAAAAAAGAAAGGAGAGTCTGGGAGCTTGGGTCGCCGGGGGGGCGTGGCCAGCCTGAAAACGGCCATCAGCCCCTCACCCAGGCTGGCCAGGCACCCCAACAGAACCCCACCACCCTGAAGGGGCTGTGGGCAGCCTGAAAACGACCCTCAGCCCCTCACCCAGGCTGGCCACACCCCCATGGGGTGAGGATCCCCACTGGGGGGGTTGACAAGCCTGAAAACAGCCATCAGCCCCTC